CTTCCCACCTCTATAAAAGGGGGGAAATTATAATTACCTATCTCACATAAGAGCTTGGAGGCATTTACGGTTTGAAATCCTAACGTATCAAAAGATGGTCTAAATTAGCTGTTACCACTTAAGAAAGATCTTGGAGTCGTTGTGGATAGTTCTCTGAAAACATCCACTCAATGTGCAGCGGGAGTCAAAAAAGCAAACAATGTTGGGAATCATTAAAAAAAGGGATAGACAATAATATTGTTTCTACATAAATCCATGGTACGCCCACATCTTGAATACTGAGTGCAGATGTGGTCGCCCCATCTCAAAAAAAGATATATTGGAATTGGAAAAGGTTCAGAAAAGGGCAACAAAAATGATTAGGGGTATGGAACGGCTGCAGAGATTAATAAGATTGGGACTTTTCAGCTTGGAAAAGAGATGACTAAGGGGGGATAGGATAGAGGTCTATAAAATCATGACTGGTGTGGAGAAAGTAAATAAGTGTTATTTACTCCTCCTCATAACATAAGAGCTAGGCGTCACCAAATGAAATTAATAGGCAGCAGGTTTAAAACGAATAAAAGGAAGTATTTTTTTCACACAACACACAGTCAACCTGTGGAACTCTTTGCCAGAGGATGTTGTCAAGGCTGACTATAACAGTTCAAAAAAGAACTAGATAAGTTCATGGAGTATAGGTCCATCAATGGCTATTAGTCAGGATGGGCAGGGATGGTGTCTCTAGCCTCTGTTTGCCAGAAGCTGGGTATGGGCGACAGGGGATGGATCATTTGATCCTGTTTTGTTCATTCCTTCTGGGGCACCTGGCATTGGCACTGTTGGAAGACAGGATACTGGGCTAGATGGACCATTGGCTAGTATGGCCGTTCTTATGTTCTTAAGTCAAGAGAGGCAGCAGAGACAGTGTGATGAGTCGTGTATTTAAACAACTGGCTTAGTGAAGAGAGATATGTCTTAAACCTATGCACCAGGTCCCTCTACTGGAACAGTGCCCAAAGTGGAGCTGTTCCGTTAATTCACAGAACAGGGTGGAAGCGATGTACCTTGCTTCTGCAGGCGGTTGATGGGAATGGTGTTTTCATGTATGTACGTGTGCAGCCACAAAGGCTTAGTCAGAACCACCAGTGCCCAGAAAGTGCCATACTAATTCCAATGCATGTGTCCTATGGTTCAATGACAAGTCTCCAAGAAAGTTACCCCTCGCTAGCTGCATTGATTTCCTCCACTTCAAAGGGCCATTGTCAGGGATAAACCCCACCACGTGTGTTACGGTGTGGTCCTTTCATTGTAGAACTGCAAAAGGGGTATAAAGGCCTTAAGACACCACACACGGTATACCCTGTGGAATTTCCCCCCAAGCTCCCCTAAAGGAGAAGTGCATAGGTATGGCACAGCCCTCTAGATCTGCAGAGCAAAGAATCAGCTCCTCCATGCTACTCTTACAGCTGCCTTTGGCCATGGAAGTATGCTACTGCTGGATACCTACCCTGTCCCACCTGTCTCTGATAAAAGCAGCCATAGAATTAACATCTACTTGAAATTCAAGCTCAACCTCCGGGGTCTGCAGGGGAACATCCCCCAGTCCCACTTCCCTAAAATCAGGGCTATCCCAGAGGAGCAGAGTAGGTCTTCTCTGAACTAGGGGGGAAAAAAAGAGCATACCACACTGGCTTTGCTCCCTTCCTTACCTGGGTACTTTAAGCTGACCTATGGAATGGAAAAGAGGCTAGGGCCAAGAATTAGGCTCCTAAACATATACTTAGGAACTAAGTAAGTGGCCCAAGGACCCTATTTCACCCATTTTTTAAAAAAAGGTTTGACCTATGCCCTGATTCAGCAAAGTCCTCAAGTATGTGCCTATCTTTAACGTGCGATTAAGTCCAATGATTTCAATGGAATTACTCCTGCTTAAATTAAGTATGTGCCTAAGTACCTTGCGCACTCAGGGCCCCAATGCTCTATCAATCATAGAGTTTAAGAACACTGGCTATTCCTAATACAGGATTAAAAATAAAATTCTCTCGTTTTCTATTTATGTCGTTTGTTTTGTGCAATCTCATTTTGGACCATGCAAATAAAACTAATTAATTAATCTCATTTGTGTTTCTAGTCGGTTTCACAAATTCTCATGCATTAGCACAGCGTTGTACACTTTTATATTATACAAGTTTTAGAGAAGTGTCAGTCATTTCTACATTTTAGGCCAAATTTGTCCAGACTCTGCTCTAACCATTCCAACTGGAAAGCTTATCTTATTATCTTATTTCCAAAAAGAAAGTGGAGACACTGTTTGGTACATAGCAAAAACAAAACAAAACAAAAAAAAGGTTCTGTGTGTGATCATGACAAAGCCATGGAACAGCTACAGTGGAAACTGCAGACATGCACTTTAACTTTGTTAGCTAGTAGCTTTACAAGTAGTCAAGTTATCACACAGTTCAAACATATTTCATATAAAAGAATGCAGAACTGCTAATGCTGTAAAATTAGAACATAAGAATGGCCATATTGGGTCCATCTAGCCCAATATCCTTTCTTCTGACAATGGCCAATGCCAGGTGGTTCGGAGGAAATGAACAGAACAGGCAATCAAGTGGATCCATCCCCTATTGTCCACTCCCAGTTTCTGGCAGTCAGAGGCTAGGGGCACCCAGAGCATAGGGTTGAATTCCAGACCCTCTTGGCTAATAGCCATTGATGGACCTAACCTCCATCAACTTATCCAATTCTTTTTTGAACACCAGTGTAATTTGGCCTTCATAACAAGGCAACAAATTCCACATGTTGGTTTTGCAGTGTGTGAAGTACAGTACTATTTTGTTTGTTTTAAATCTGCTGCCTATTAATTTCATTGGATACTCTGGTTCTTGTGTTATGTGAAGGGATAAACAACACTCTCAGTCACTTTCTCCACACCATTCATGATTTTATAGACCTTTATCATATTCCCTTTAGTCGTCTCTTTTTCAAGCTGAACAGTCCCAGTCTTTTTAATCTCTCCTCATATGGAAGCTATTCTATTCCCTTATAGTTTTTCTTGCCCTTCTCTGTACCTTTTCCAATTCTAATATAGCACTAATTAGCCCTCAGGAGACAAGGAATGTGGAAGTTAAGGCTAAATGGACAGTGTATGTTCTGCCCTATTGTGGATGTGAGCATTTATGCTACAGCCTCTAGTTCAGACCCTGTTTTTCTACAACTCTACATACACACCCATTTATGATCATCTCTGGCAATGCAATTACAGCCTACATCATATTCATATGTACAAAGGACAGAGTGAAGGATGTTCATTCAGATTTTGATTGCTTAATGCAATGCTATCAAAATTCCAGCGAAGGTCGCAAATCCTGTTAACTCTGTATTTAATTAAACCTGTTTTAAGTAAAGAATTAAAGCATAATTAAAAGGCTCCTTGGCCAGAGGGAAAAGACCCTCCCCCACATCTCAGGAAAAGTCTGGCTATGGAAGTAGCTTTACACCTCTCTCAGTTGTGGAGCTCCAGTGCAGGTCTACTTCCTATGCACTTCGCCAAGTGTCCAGGGGTTCAGAGAAAGCTCCTCTACTTTTTATAAAAAGGTATCTTACGATATGAAGGATTTAAAACCACTGTGTAATTTAGCTATGCAGCTGTGAACAAATCAATCTTCCCAGCCTTGGATGAACAGTGCCAAGTATACTGCAAACACTCAGAACATGTCCTTCCAAGTCTGAGCATAGTAAAATGGAAGTCCATTTTCTAAGGAATGCCCCCTTCCCCTCCAGACACTTCGCGGGACTATTTAAATATAAATTTTGACCTCCAGCTGTAGAATGGCTCAAAGAGAGGCCACAAATGTTTACATGGGGGAAAAAGAAAATTCCTAATTCATGCTCAATCTGCTAAAATGATTTTGATCAGATTTGAAGTTCACTTTGAGGCATAGACCAAGCCTGGAAAATCCCAGCCTGAAAGCTTGAAAAATTAGAGACTGAAAACAGGGTATTAGAATGGAAATCAGTGTGCTTACTTTAATAGGAGGGGCATTGACCTCTACAGTTAAGTGTATAGAAGACATATGTAAGGCAGTTATCACTTAGCCACTGCGCCATTACATAAAAATGCTGCCCCAAAATAAGATTAAACTATTATTCCACACTGGCCCATTCTCCAGCAAAGAATATCCACACGTAGCATGTTTCTTCCCCCCCACCCCAAAATAGGTGGTCATGGAGAAAGAGATTCATTTGCTTCCCACAAGAGCAAAGACACATTAAACTTCCCACCATTTGCCAGGTTAAACCAATGCAGCAAAAGATTACAATCTAGCCTCGCAAAGTTGCAGAAAAAAAAATGACCATCTAGGCACAGAGTAAACTTGCCCATCCTTCATCACGCTAAATGTTTTACTCAAAGCAAGTAAGGCTCAGGGCCAACAGAAATGTGCATTGCTCAACTAGCAAAACCCCACTCCTTTTCTTGATTGTTCCCTTTCTTTCAAGGTATTTTCTGCATTCTCCAGTGTTATGCTGGTATTAGATAGAGGTCTGTGTTCTAATTTTAAGCTTCTATAGTTATACTCGTTAATGGGAATACCGTTACACTTTAATGAACATCTACATTTAAAATGCTCTTTTCCTGCATGCCCAAAGAGACAAAACTTTAGGTAGATGGAAACCAGATTACAAATAGATCCAAGAGTCAGGATTTTTGCCGGAGCACCCCAAGACCTGCCCACCCACATCCCCAAAGGTTAGGATGTGTATTTTACACAGTTTAATTTTTGCATTCATGTAAAGAGAGTTCTGCTTCGTTTACTGTATAACAGAGCCAAAAGAGACTTGAGTTGTGAAGCTTTCCACATGTTTTGAGGTAACTGGAATGATGCAAAAAGCAGATTCTTCAATAGTCTTGCACAATGTATTTATAATTATAGTCAGAAGTTTCTAACATCCTCCTCCCGCACAGCACCCCATGGGAAATGCATTCAATAGTAAAACATTCATAAGTTACTTACTGTGCTTCTTCTGAAGATTCCTGCTTTATCTTTAATGTTCTTTTTGTGGCAGGCATTTCATCTGAAAAGCAAAGTTCCAACAGACAGTTATATATTTAAAACTCTCCCAAAGCTTTTTACTTTGAAAGGTAATAAGTTGAACAACTTAGTGTTTTCCAGTAAAATTCTGATGTCACACTCTGAGGACACTGCTTCAGCTCTTAAAACCAGCTATTATGTAAGCTACATCACCATCCCTGAAATTTTAGCTACAGGATCAAAATCTGGCTTCACATGTGCAAGATCTTTCAAGGACAAGAGTAATTCCTGCCATTAAGTCACAAGTTGATTTCATTGTAAACTACATTCTGAAAAAGGCCATTCTGCTTTCAATAGCACATTTGAAGAGCAAGCACCAGAACAAACGTATCTGTATTCCATTTAGACTGTGTGCGTGCTAAGTACCTTTCTCATATCCATTCACTGAACACAAAGAATATTGTCAGCCCCAACTGCATGTAAATGTTGCTGTAATTCTTTTGAAGGATAATGGTGACAAACCATCAGAGCAAAGCCTGAGTCACCAGAACCCCTATATGGAATTACAGTCCTCATTTATGTACATTTTTTAAATACATGGTTTAAAGAAACTCCTTCCTGTCTCTTGTATCTCAAGTAGCCCCCTTTTACGCCTTATGCTCCCCAAGTCCCCCATACATTCTGATCCTCTTTAAATTAAAAACCAACATTCCTAGTTCTCATACTTCAGTTAGTTTGAGGAGGTATTGCTATTGTCATTTGAAAATGCAATTTAATCCATCTCTTAGGGTAGGTCTACACTTACCCGGTAGTTCGGCGGCAAGTAAATCGAACTTCTGGGTTCGACTTATCGCGTCTTGTCTGGATGCGATAAGTCAAACCCGGAAGTGCTCACCGTCGACTGCGGTACTCCAGCTCGACGAGAGGAGTACGCGAAGTCAACGGGGGAGCCTACCTGCCGCGTCTGGACGGAGGTAAGTTCGAACTAAGGTACTTCGAACTTCAGCTACGTTATTCACGTAGCTGAAGTTGCGTACCTTAGTTCGAATTGGGGGGTTAGTGTAGACCTGCCCTTAGTCAAAGTCAGAATTTACCAGTCCCCAGAATATAACTGCAGATGAAGGTATATTTGTGTACCTCCCCTCCACCCCCCAATTTAACCTACAAATACAATCGAAAAAGCGAGAACAGTGCCTTTATCCATCTTCCCTTGTAAATGCTGCCTCGCTCTTACAATCCCATTGGAATCATTGTTTAAAATTAACTTTGATAAGCTTCCATAGACTCGGTAAATACATAAACCTTTTCCTTTCCTATTTATTGTAGGCAAGAATGTACCTCTATTCTATAGAAAATACTTACTCGGAAGTCAAATGTAAGCATATTTTCAGGAAAGTGGATCTTTCTGTAATATCTATCTGTCAGGGTTGGGCAACAGCATTTGGAAGACTAGGGAGATTTTTTTTTGGAAAAGGCAAAATTTTGGCAATTTTACTTGCACAACATAAAAGTAGTTGTGGCGTGTGGCTTGCTAGCTTTTTACGTCTAACGAATAATGAGTTTATAATGAGATCTACCTGCAAGATTTTTTGTTGTGTGACCGTGAGCATCAGCAGTACAGATCAATTAACCTCAAGTTCAGCAATTCATATTTCCTTCCCTCTCAACCCCCATTCAAGTTCCTTTTAAGCAAAACTCAAATCTCAAATTTTAAACAATGGGCCACTCTAGCATCTTGTCAGGAACAAAAGAGCTACTGTACCTGTTTTAAAATAAGATAATGCAAACAAGTTAAAGTCTACTTATTTCAAATATTCTACTTGTTAGAATTCACTAACAATAAAAATTAGCAGTTAATCAGTTCAGTCCACAATTTAGTTACACAGAGAAGGTGTTTGACAGCTTTAGGGAGCCCTGCAAATTAGGCACTTTAGATTTATACAATTGTACAAATTATAGGAATTAGTTCTGATTTATGACAAGTCTTAAACCTGTAAGTATAAGAAATACACAGAAGTAGGTATAGCAGCATTATGGCATAGGATGGATTAGGATTATGGAGTAGGATTAGCACTAGAGTAGCTACAAGCACATGCAAAACCAAAACATACAGACGGATCAATAATCAATTTCTTACCCAACTCCGGGTCTCCGCCCTGGTAGCAGTGAAGATCCTGACTGTGGTTCCCCCAATCCTCCTGTGAATATTCCTCCATAGTGCTGCCATCCGATTCCAGCTCCTGGTACAAGCCGCTACTATTAATGAGTACAGGCTGGCAGGGCTGCGAGTCCCATCCTCCCTGACCAAACACCTGTTCCAATTGTTCAAATGTGTAACTGCTTTTCCTTTTCCCAACACCATGTTCTTTCACTCGACTGTAACACCTGCGAAGGGTCTAAGACACAAAACCTTTTGTTACTCAATTGATGCTAGCTTTCCAGAATGGCACGCACTCACGTGCAGATAGAATAAGAATGCTAGACAATCTGTTTATTTTTACTTATATTGCTCAATCTTTGTCCCATGTGTTCAAGTACTATAATCCAATCACCAAACTGCCAAATTAACCTTTGTAAGACAGGAAGCATCACAACTTTGATGTTCCTGACACACGATGCTTTAGCTTGAATATCAATTACAAAGAACAAAGTTGTATAGCATCTGCAGGTTCGCCAGTTTCAAAGTTGGGGATTTTGAGGGCAGGGGAGAATACATAAGTCTGCTACATATTACAGGAAAACAAACACAAATCCCATCCAATATACCAGCCAGCCCATAGAATGCACACCTTCTACAGGAAGGAGAGAGTACAGCTGTTGTTGTGCCCACAGTTTGGAGAAGGTGGGGGAGGGGGAGATAGAAAGAAGAGTCCCCAAAAGCAAAGACAGTCCAACCTTCCTTATTCTAGTAAGAAGATACAAGGTAAACAATGTTTGCCTAAACTATTTAGCTAGTAAAATGTATTACTTACATATTTTGCATTCCTTACTAACTCACTCTCTCTCTTGGGAAGCTGCTGAAATTTAAAAGAGGTCAAATCAATAATGCTCCAAATTCCCAGACTCAAACATCAAATCATCAAGAAACAATACTAAGATGGCCACATCTAGCAATCCATTACAACAGAGTCCAGTTCAGATTTTGAAGCCTCCAATAAAGACAGATTGCCAAGCTTAGACCAGGTTTTTTGCACCTATTTGATTTCTTATTCTAGTGGCTGAGTTGGTAGCAAGTACTATGCATTATTATAAGATACAGTATGAAATCTAACTCTTCTGCATCTGCTTCCAATTTTCCAAGTCAAGGAGGAGCTGTTTAGAAAGTCTTTGAATTAAAAACATTAAGGGACATGAATAAAGTGTGGTTCTACTTTGAAAAGTGACTAAATTGCTTTGTAGGATTCCACATCTACTGCGTTTCAAGGACTTCCTATCAGATGTACTCAATTTACAAAACATTTTTCTCGTAACTGCCATCACTTCAAACTGAACCTTGAATAAGAAAATCAAGCTGTGTTCTCTCACAAAAGCAAGCATTAGGGCTTGAAAGATGCACTTCTGGGCCGAGGACAGGCTCTACTAGGTCACCTTCTACAGAGCCACCACGTTTCTAGCACTTTTGGTTGCAAAAACCACCTTCCAAGCCAAGAATGTAAACCGATGTCTCTTCTGGATTCTCAAGACAGCTCCAGTGTGGCTCATAGAAACAGACAACTCTGATCAGTTCCAGGGCTGATATTCAGAAATCTGGAGGGCAGAAGTGCAGCTATCAAAAACTCATGCTAGTTGCATGCTGCTGCTTGGGAAAGCTATATACAGCACCAACAGCAGGCACAAAGTTATTCAATGCTGAAGAGTCAAAAAATGGAAACTGGGACAGTGCAGAGTAGCAGAGATCTCATCCCTCCCAAGATGCAACAGCCAGGAGACCAGAGAGGAAGAGAAACTACTTTTCTTCCATAACTGGAAAAAGGTGCTTTAAAGTGTCAGAGCTACAAGCACCCCCTCCCTTCCCAAGCAAGGTTGTAGGACAATATTCTAGTTGAAACAGGAGCAAAGGTGGCAGGGGATATTGATCGCAGGGCTACTGTCCCCCTGCCACCTGTGTCTTTAGTATCTACCGCTGGTTAGTAGGCAGAGTCCTCCATTTAGTAGGTGTTGGGTAAAGTTTTCAAGTGTTGATAATCACTTTCCACCTGTTCAACAACTGTGTGTTCAATGGGGCCAGATGAGTAATTGTGGGTAGAACTAGACCCTGCATTTGATGCTTAATCTGTTGATGATCCATGAGAGAACTGCATCCCTCTTTGGGGGAGGGCACTGCAAGGCTAAAGAAGTAAACACTAAACAGGTCAGTGGTTAGACCAAGCAGGTAATACCCAGATACACAGAGAATACATGCGAGTAGGAAGTACCAGTTTTAAAGTCACTTTGCAGAGCAGAACTACACTTTCAGATGGATACTTTGTCTCACTCTAGACTGATGCTACATTTTTCACCTCATTTATGACAGTGTCACAGGGTAACATGTAAACTACTATATCATTTGTGACCTGAAGAAGAGCTCTGTGTAAGATCAAAAGCCTGTCTTTCACCAACAGAAGTTGGTCCAATAAAAGAGGTTACCTCCCCCCACCTCGTCTCTCTAAGATCCGACAACTGACACAGCTACACCACCATTGCATATCATTCATAGATTTTTTTAGAAATCAGTGTACTCAAATTTTAAAACAGTTTTCATGACAATTTTATATTATTGCAAGGTATGTAAGATTTCCTTATCCAACTGAGCAACAATGGTACTGCTGTCTCAATTTGAAGGCCCAAGAGATTCTAACTGCTTTATTAATAGCCAGGCTAAATAAACACACTGTTGTCTCCAGCAAAGTTAATGGAGAAGCTTCAATATCCTCTGATTAGGTCCTTTGGGAGCCCTCAACATCTGCAAACATTGGCTTCAATGCTTAAAACTCAATTTCAAAAAAGAGTTCTCCCTTGGATGGATGTTACCAAATTATCCATTTAAGACTTCAGCAGAGGCAATCTTATTAGCAGCCATTTATTTCATTCGGCCCTCAACACTAATGTTATTTTGCGAAGACCATGGCAAAAGTTCACCAAGCACCTACTCAGCAGAGACCAATGCAAAAGATGAAGGAGGCAGTGCTCTGGTCAGAACACATCTCCAGATACTTTGGTAGGATGGAAAGCATATGCTGAGATTACTGCCAAAAGGACCCAGGGCCTTGCTTGGATGATTCCATCTTTCATATTCACCTCTGGTCAGTAGACATCTGATAAATTCAAAGCTTTCTACAACCCCATTAGCTTCTGAAAGAAGAGCTCCTCCTGCCAACCTATAGCTAAAAACTGTTGGTGGGACCTCTATTTTCCTTCCCTGGAGTGGCAGTCCCTACTCTATTTTCTCCTCCCCACAGACATTTTCCATTTGCTTCATCATGGAGATCTCCTCTATGCCTCTACAGCACATGGCTTTAACAGCACTGAACTAAAACGGGCGTATTCTGTTCTGTTTCACTGCTGCCCCACATGATTCTGCATGACCACCTTGCAGCTAACAAGAGTTATTCATTTCACTCGGCAGCTGTTTGCAGGCTCAAGAATGCAGCACGGCATCGAGACATTCTGCAGATTTTCTGCATAATTATTATAAAGAAGAGCAGGGGGGGTTGTTTTTGAAAATGAAGCCTTAATTCTCCCTACACCTATAAGAATTCCCATGTTATCACTGGAGAGAGGCTTTTTCAAGCCTTGTAGTCCCTCTCTCCCTCCCAGAATGCAGCTGGACTCCTGCTCAAGGGCATTAACACCACATCTCCATATAGTGTCCTACCAGCACCTTTATATCGTAAGTCTTTTCAGAAGAAAAAATCATGTTCATTTTTAATGTAACTATTCAATGTGTGGTGCTAACCATCAGATGCCTTCTCAGAATACGCCAGAACAAACAAATACTGGGTGCTCTACGCTCAGAAAATAAAGACCGTCTCTGCTCAACATTTATAACTTAAAAGCCATACATAGAAAATGTGGCACTAGGAAATCCAGAGACGCTTGCACTACATGCTCAGCCCCTGGAAACAGGTCACCCCTCACTGCTGCTGTAGCATATAGGTACCTCCAGTAGTTTGCCCACTAATGCTGGAACCGAGCCCTACTCAGCAGCTCCAGTTTTCCAGGCTGTCAATATGGGCAGTGATGTCCTTATCCCCACCAATCAGTTTCCCACTGCAGCTATGTTTTCTGAAGCTGTATACCTGACTCACCTGGTCTAGTTATGAATCACCAGTGTAGCTAAGCAAGAGTTCCATGGAAAAGACTGAAAGGGCAAAGGGCTGAGGAGCTGCCACACACGTACGAGATTTTATCGGTTAACACTTCGTACAAGTCAGTGATCCTCACCATCTTGTTTATTTCTCCAACAGCAAACAACCTTCTCCAATTAAGGGGAAAAATTCAAAGAGAGGGTCTTTTGTCATGCTTACTAAAAGTCTATGTATGACCAGGTAATGGTCTTACAAATCTCTGCTGTAAGATACTCCAGATCTTGATCAAAAATAGATTTATGGCCCTTTGTTTTCAGTTTATTGATTTTTACTGAAAATTTCCCAGATTTTACCAAAGCTATTACTCAGTTTTTACTGATTTTCACCCATATTTTGGAAGTGCCAGAACTCTCTGAACCCAGCTTCCCACTTTGGAAGGAGAGATAGCAGCTCGTTAACTGGTCTCTCTCCTTCTGGAGCCAGTCCAGGCTTTGGGGGAGCCAATTCAGGAGTACCAGAATGACTTGAGCACTGGTGTATGTACAGTTTTCAATCCAATGGCCAGCACATACATGTTACCACTGTTGGAGAGAAGTATCCATGCTATCAGCATTCAGAGCAAACGAATGTTAGTGAACTACTTTTCATGCTAAAATGGGTTCAAAATGAAAAAGCTATCCAATGACATTTCAGAACATGGAAGATTTTTTTTAAACTTCAAAACAAAGATACAAGAGAAGAATATTTACCTAGAAAACTCTTTAATTTTGTAATAAGATACAACAATTACCAGGAAATTTAAAAAAAACACCACTGAAAACAAAGGGCCGTACATATGTTCTAGCCCAAGCAGAAATTACAGGCTTGATGCAAGAATTTCTGGGTGAAATTCTCTGGCTTGCGTTAAGCAGGTGGTCAGACTAGAGGATCATAATGGTCCCTTTAGGCCTTAAAAATCTACATACTGGATGAAAAATATGGGTGATCTGAATTTTTGTTCTGCTCAGGCGGCTTCCAATAGCTCTCCTTGTGCAAGCAGGTTTTTATTTATTTATTTATTTTTTTAAAAGACGGTTTGTCTGAAAGAATGAAATTATTTTCTGAGACCAGTAAAACTCTACTTCTGGGATAAAGTTTGGAATGGTGGGTAGAGCCCATCCAATGAATGGTACATTAAACATCTTTATATTACTAAAGTTCCCATCCCAGAAGTCCTCTTGCCAGGGTAGCAGATACAAGGAGAGCAACACAGAGGGGAGTTTAACATTTCTTTACCAGAAGTGTTTTCAGGAACTGGTGCCCTGAAGAACTTTTTAATGAGAGGATGATTCAAGAGACTGGAATTAGTGTCAGAGTCCAACATGCTTACTCAAAATTGTCTCTAGAGCCTACAGGGAGCAAATACCAAACTCCAGTTGAAAACCATCCTGGCAGAACACTGATTCTTCAAATTGTTCATCTAGATCTACATTCTTGATAGAAGTGTGTGCTCAGCTCAGAAGCTTCAAGCAAGCAGTGTCTGTTGGGGCCACTTGCCTCCTCCCCATTGCTCTGGAGTCATAAGGCACAAAAGGGGCAGAGGCCAAAACTACCATCAGTTCCATCTATTAATTCAGGAATCCTTGCTGACCCCTTGAGAGCTAGCCATATGACTTCTCTCTCAGCAAATAAATAAGCAGTCGTCAGCCTTCTGCAGGCAAGCAAGGATTCGTTAAGAAGAAGTCCAAGTCCAAGTTATAATGCTGAGTGAAGGACCAGAGTTCTAAAGAGCAGCCT